TTAATATCTTCTGTGCGCTTCACTGTATTCAAATGGGAGGGTGTGAAATGTTTGTCCTTTATGACGCTCTTTTTATTGTCTGGATATTTCTCAAAGCTTGTATTTAGCTAACAATCGTACTTTCTGCCACCAATTCATGTCGAAATTGGGCGAGTTGAATATATTGCCGTCCTGCTCTGTTTGTAGCAGGTTTGGACTATTGGTCCATACATAGTGATGTGTAATTTCCATTTTTTTTTTCAATCGTTTTTCTGAAGAGCCTCCTAAAATAAAACATGAGGCTGTTTTTCAGGGGGCCATATTTTCTGATGTTAAAAAAAAGAATCTTATAAATACCAATGTATGTAGCCTTCTATAAAGTAAAAAAAAACAGAGGGCGATGTATATATCACTTGTATTTTGTTTTAAAAGAAATGTATGCTGCTGTTTCGTACTGTTTTTACAAAAATCAAACAAAAATCAAACAAAAAACAAATGCACACGACAAACAAACAGGCTTGTTTGCTTTTTTTTAGAAAATATTTATTTCCGACTTGGTAAACGACATGATATTTAACATTGCCATCATGTTTTCGCCGCAGTCAGACTGGAATCTCGGTATCACTCGGTATCCTGTCGCATACGACTACTCACTACATAGTATATTTGGGGGTGAACGACACGACAATTTACGACAGTATCCGAAAGCTGTTTACCTGTCAAACATTGCGACACTGTCCTTTGTAAAATACTTTACTCTTGTATCTAAAATAAAATGTATTACTGTTTTTTAACAAAAACAACAAATAAAAAAATACAACAACAATATTTACATGAACAGTTTAGGCAATATTTCGTGGCGTCGAAACTCCCTTTTTTGTTTTTTTTAAAACGGTGTGGGACATAGCCTTCTAAATTTTAAATTACATGTTTATTATAAATATACATCAGAAGGTTAGTTTTTAAAATAGAGTATGTGGGACTGTGGGGCTAACCTCAAACCGTTTCCCGTTAGAACCTTTGTATATCATATACGTTTACGTTCAACTTTTATTCCATTTACAGTTCTCTCTACGTTCCAGGTGCAGTTTTCGGGTCTAAAATTGAAGTGTGTGCTGTTTTCAATATATGAACCAGTCCTTTAGGAACAACTTAGATGGGTCTTTCTATTCACATTGTAACCGTTATAACGTTTAACAAAAGAAGATATAATGCGTTTACGTTCAACTTCTATCCCGTACTCCTATAACGTAATGAGCTTACTGTGGGCCCGTGTGGGGCGTGGGGCCGTGGGCTCATAAATAAAACTTATTTTACAGTTTACTCTTGTTTTCAAAACATGTAATTTATATGTATGTACTACTTACACATACATATAAAATACTGTAGTTTTAATTTTTATATATATAAATAAATACTAATTTACACAAAAACACAAGATTTTTTGTTGGGAGATCTAGATATGTTTTTCAAGGGTGTAAAACATGTTTCTTTTTGTTAAAGACTCTCAACTCTCAAGTCTCAGACCCAGTCTCAGTCTCTCAGACTCTCAGGTCTCAGACGGTCAGGCCCCCTCTGTCTGTGAAGCGTTGAATTTGAAGTCATGCTGAATGTTCCTGTGTGAGTGAAATAAAACTATAAAGCAATTCTATTTGTCCGTTGTCGTGCTTTTAAAAAAAATCGAAATGGCATACCTTTAAAATTGGGACCGCCAAGGCGCCAACTTGCTCTTATATTTTCAGGATGTGACAACATATTCAACTCGCTTCAGGATTATTGTTATAATGATTGAGAGTACGATCGTTAGCTGAATATGAACCGTAATCGACACCATATTCCATCCAAAAACAATTCCATAAAACAAGTAGACCAGTAAAGCTTTACATAGTTCTCATACTATAAAAAGAGCATCACAAAGGACACTGCTTCACACCCTCCTATTTCAATACAGTGAAACAAACTGAAGGTATAAACATGAAATTGTTTCGCACTACGTTACTACTTGCCACCGCTGCGGCGATGGCAATGGCCGCTTCTTCTAGTTCCATGATGGAGATGTGCTCTGAATCCAACAATAAAGGCAAGTGCCATGGCCTGAGCAAAGATATTGACACGAAACGACACTGCAACCTCAGTGGCAGTGACAAGTGTTCAACTTCTCACTGTTGCAAGGATAAACACCACGGTCATGATGATGATGATGAGGATGATGATGATGTCAAGATGAAGTGCTCTGACGATACCAATCAAGGCAAGTGTAAGGGCATGGGAAAGAAGGTGGATAAGCACAGACACTGCTTCCGATATGGTGATGATAAGTGTGCCAGCTCACACTGCTGCATGGACCATGACGATGGCAAGCATCATGAAGACGATGATGATGAGATGATGTGCCACAAGGATAACAACCAAGGCAAGTGCAAGAGCTTGGGCAAGATGATTGACGAGCACGCGCACTGCAGCAGATATGGTGATGGCAAGTGTGCCAGTTCTCATTGCTGCAAGGACCACGACAAGGATCATGAGAAGGACCATGACAAGCACGAGAAGGATCATGACATGTATGAGAAGGACCACGACACGTATGAGAAGGACCATGACATGCATGAGAAGGACAACGACACGTATGAGAAGGACCACGACACGTATGAGAAGGACCATGACATGCATGAGAAGGACAACGACACGTATGAGAAGGACCATGACATGCATGAGAAGGATCATGATATGGATGAGAAGGATCATGACATGGACCATGAGAAGGACCATGGCGAAGACGATGATGCCAAGCATCATGGTGGTGACAAGTATTGAAGATAGAAATGATCAGCACCATACGGAATGTCCGGTGATGACAGGCTATCTTCATTTCACATAGTTGGTACCAAACTCATCTGCGGCGTTGCAGGAATATATATATATATATATATATATATATATAATATGTATATATAGTAAAAACTTCGGAAAATATCTGATTGCAAACATACATGCCTACTTTAGTATAGTTCACGCCGATCTATCAAACTTGATCTTTAAAAGCATCTTGGTCATGATGCTTCCAAATTGTGTTTGTCACAATTGTTCCACGATCACATTTGGAAAAATGCATCAAAATCTTCTATTAGCACCGATGTTTGTATTTGAAGTACAGTTGCAGACAGAAAGCAAGCAATTCAGCGCCACAATTTTCTGCTCTTAGACTATTCTACCAGTCGTTCATTAATATCTTTAGTACTATATGTATATAAGAACAGTCTCTCATTCATATCTTTAGTGCTATATGTATATAAATATAAGACGCGATTTGAAATATGGTGGCAGAGCACGCGCAAAGAGTAATACTTCCTGTGACTCGGGTGTTCCAAGCAAGCGTCAGATTGCCAACTTTTGCAGATCATGCAACTTTATTGCTGTACATTTATTGCTTTTGGTGGATACTATTCGGTGTCTATCTGATGCATTATGTCACGCACACTATCCTAACCTCATCATCACATCATAACCCTTCAAGCAAATTCATCAGCTGTTGACTATCATTATCCTTTAGAGCTTTGAAAAGTGTTAAAAATTCAGGATTTGATGTAGAGTATGTGTGAGCCATACGGCTATAACCGCCGTTGATTTCTATTAATTTTGCTTTCTCCTCTGCGCGCTCAATCACTTGGCGAGGGACGCCGGCCATGTTAGCCACGTTCATACCATAACTCTTGGAGCACACACCCAGCGCTAGTTGATACAAGAAGGTTACATCACGCCTGTGCAGAGGATTGAAAATGAGCTGCAGATGAGAATAAGTTCGTAATTGTGCATACAACAGTATGCACCTCTGTACCAACTCTGTACCTCAGCAAGATACTTCAGCTACCGCTACTACAAAAAAAATGCGCATATCAAATATACAGAATCTCGATTGAAAACTAGTGCCACTAGAAAAGAAAAACATATTAAACCTACTTGTCCTCGTCTACTAAACAGCTCATGTGCATGTTGGCGACGCTCCTCTCCCTTTTGAACTCCTCGCACAACATATGATAGTGTGTAGCAAACATGGCTCGACAGCCTACATCGTTGATAAGGTGCTTCAGCACGGCAAAGGCTATAGCGTAGCCATCAAAGGTACTAGTACCCCTGCCTAATTCGTCGAGAATCACCAGACTGTTTTTCGTGGCATGTTGTAGAATGTTGCTAGTCTCCTGTATGGGCGGTGTGTAGTGCACGTCATGATGTTCGTGGATGAGTTTCTATTTCATTGCGTACCCGACAGATGAAACTCCGCACATGCTACAAAAGCGAGCTACCCCTAACACAGACAGTAGCACACATAAAGTTCTACGAACTACAAAGCGAGCTATCCCTAACACAGACAGAAGCACAGATAAAGTTCTACGAACTACAAAGCGAGCTACCCCTATCACGGACAGTAGCACAGATAAAGTTCTACGAACTACAAAGCGAGCTACCCCTAACACAGACAGCACAGATAAAGTTCTACGAGCTACAAAGCGAGCTACCCCTAACACAGACAGTCCTAACACAGACAGTAGCACAGATAAAGTTCTACGAACGCGCGTACGTGTACCGGTATCCAAGTGCACTAGAAATGAGACGAACTCGTTGAGACTTCAATATCACCCAGCTGTCTCTCGGTATGTCAGGCATCGGACTTTATCTCCGTCATGTGCAATACACTATCAGACTCGCTAGCGATAAACAATATAACTGCGAACCTGAAGCACTTCAGCGATAAACAACTATATAACTGAGAACCTGAAGCACCTCAGCGATACGCTCAGAGTAAGCAGTTTGCACCGCTAATACGTCCACACATACATGTTTCCTTTCACACCGTTGAATATGCATCTACAAGCGAAATGTGCATGATGTACTGTGCAAGGATTATCAGATCCATATAAGTGCGTATACACCAATATATTTTTACACAACATGACGTCACGATTAACTAAGAGTGTGTTGTATCCCGTGCGTGCTATATTCTCAAGTATGCAGCGCTACACGGAAACATAACCCTCCACAAATGTACCACCCTATTTCTACACTTAAATTTGGACCTATCGCAACTGCATGCCCATCCCTACATACCTTAAGCTCCACCATGAACGTGGACTGACCCGCCAGTATATTGTCGTTCGCTCCTATCCTCGTGAATATTCTGTCCGTGAGTGTCATACGACAGCTCTCGGCGGGTATGAAGCAGCCCAACTGTGCCATAACTATGGCCATGCACGTTTGCCTGAGCAGGGTCGATTTACCCCCCATATTAGGCCCCGTTAGTAATACTATAGGCGCTCCCTTGCTCTCTGTTGATATCGAATGACAAATTGTTAGACTTGGAATCTGAAAGCGGCACGACGCATGTTGGCAAACGTATTCTCGTTCTACATATATGCCAAGAGAATTACACTGTTAGAAAAGTCGTTCGTTAAATGATATCTTATTGGGGTTTCACGTAGGTCTCAAGTCCAATAGAGGAGACGTACTTGATCATTCACAACACATCGATATACGTGCATAGCAAAGATACTATACACATTAATATCTTCATCAGGTAAACAACAGAAGGTATCTTCGATGAGACCCAAATGTATTCCGTTGGGTACATAATAATGCGCTTGATTGACATACATACGTACATAATACATGTTATTGCATCTCCCCTTCCTTGAGACCCATATGTATTCTGTCAGATGCATAATAATGTGCTTGATTGACTTGCATACGTACATGATACATGTTATTGCATCTCACCTTCGTTGAGGCCCAGAAGCGTATCGTTAGGTACATAACCCTCTGACAGTCTATGAGCAATGGTAGGATGGCGCATGGACTTGAGGTCCAGTACAGGAGGAGTGCTGTCGTCACTCTCCATCAGTATCGGCCTGCATCGCGGTTCACCCAAACTCATCGAGCACATATGCTGTTAAGGCGGACGATGATATGTCAAATGATTTGTATATGAGATTACACCCATCATGAGCATAGAAACGGCAATACATCTGATTGACCTTAATTAAGGTTCAAACATGATTAAACTTGTGACGTTAACTTACCAGCGATAGTAAACAATCGAACTCAGATATACAGGCCACGGCCTTCTTCCACAAATCTGAACACGTGTCGAAGCGATTGAGGGTGCGCACGTGCGTTTCCTTGACAACGCGGTTGAACACCGCCCGAGCTTCGGCTAAAGGTAGATGTCTCGCTTCAATAAAACCGGTCCAATACCGTTTTGCAGCTTTTGTCGAGGACTTGAGCATGTACGAACTGGGTACCTAATTTCAAGCAAAAGGAGGTGCATATATTGGTGATTAGAGATTGTGGTGTACTTTTTTTAATTGCGGACCTCCCAAACAGGCGGTTGTACAAGAGGATTGCAGAGATGGGGGAGAGCCATGTTATAGCATGTAGCAAATTGAGTATGTAGAAGTAAACAAAAAAGAGGTGCCGTGTGGACATGGGCTATTTGAAACATCCAAGGCAAAATCTAAATCATCTCCGCTCACGGTGCACCCGCGAGACCGTGCACAGTTGACTGAGTACCCGCATGGAGGCACATGCGCAATACACAAACAGACATAGCCCATCTCGTACGTGTGAAGCAACGCCATCACAATGAATATCTGGGAGTGTAACGGGGCACGGACAACATATGTGTGGTCCCAGTCAATTCATCTCGTCGTGCATGTGCGTGCGCACGCATGATCATACGTATCTGCATATGCGTGTGTGCTTAACTACGCACTAAAGTGGCATACACGTGTATGTTCATGTACTAAGCGGCATACACGTGTATGTTCATGTACCCATCATCTTATGTTACCAACGAACCAGCCTCAAGGCACGTATCTTAATCCAACGCTTACCTTGACTGTAACCGGGATCTCCAGCTGGTACTTCTCATTCCCAATGTCCTTGTAGATCACTTTTTTACAGCCGAGTTTCTTCTGCACTTCCTTCAAATGCTCTTCCAGTTCACCTTCAATCTCCTCAACAGCCGCCTGGCAGCCAACGGATAACAGGACACGAGTCCGAATGAGATCAGTGTTGCATGTTCGAACGTCGTGTGGAGTAATATACAATGTGACTTGATACCAAGGAGTGTTACATCCTTACCCCAATCTCACTTATAGTCATAGTTCAAGTATGTAATACCAATCCATGGATATCAATATATGATACGTGAGGTTGTTATGGTTTGCTATGCATGTGGAGAATGTTGGCTAATTCTTATACACTATCCCACTGGCGCTTTAAGATTCAAGGTATATAAGCAAAGTCTTGTACCGGTGACGCGTGCACGAATATACTGCTCCTATAGCAAACGCGTTCCAAACTTCAACCCTGACAGTATCAATGTGAGTACCTGGGAGGGGGGTGGGACGCGCATACCAACAGAAGTGCATCAATAAAAATATGTACATAGATACACGATCGTTGAGTATACAAATATATATATTCATCCAGGCGTTTACAATGGCACATGCAATAGAGACATAAACAAGTCCCGTGCCATTCGGTGCACACAAACGCAATGTCAATATTCTGCAGCACCATACGTATGATAAATTTGTACTTACATGCATACATTTATAAAACTACATACATGTATATACAAACAAATATACACATACACGCACATTGTGATTTATATATATATATATATATATTTGTATATGAATATTGTGAACAACCTTCGCGGCATCGTAGTCCTCATCCACGCCTTCCTTTGGTACGATATTGTTGGCCAAGAGCGCCTCCTCGTGATCAAAAGATTGCTCAAAGAACTTCAGCGCGTCTTCCAAATCTGGGAATCCCTCGCCAATCTGTGAGATTTAAATGTATTGATTAAACATACGATACAGAATCTATTAAAACTCGCATTTAATATCAGTACTGGGAGATACATGCACCCTGTGAGGAAACCAAAATATACATATACTCGCATTGTGAGTTTGAATAGCTATGTATATGTACAGTAACTGTGAGTAAACCACATGCACACATATATACATACCATGAGTAGCACACACACATACATATACAGTGTTTTTAGTAGCACACATATATACATATACAGTGTTCTTAGTAGCGCACATTCATACATTTACAGTGTTTTTAGTAGCTTGAGCAGCGTTGGCTGGCACCCAATCGTTGTACATTGTATCACTATAAAACCAAATCTGTATATAACCTACTCATCTATGCGATACCTACACAATCACCTGTGCACATCTATACCTACTGTGAGTAGAACAAATATAAACATACCTACTGTGAGTAGACCACATATACATATATACATACTGTGAGTTGAACACATATAGACATAGATATACTATGGGTAGATCGCGTATAGTCAAATACATACTGTGGGTAGATCGCGTATAGTCAAATACATACTGTGGGTAGATCGCGTATAGTCAAATACATACTGTGGGTAGAACGCGTATAGTCAAAAACATACTGTGGGTAGAACGCGTATAGTCGAATACATACTGTGGGTAGAATGCGTATAGCCAAATACATACTGTGGGTAGAATGCGTATAGTCAAATACATACTGTGGGTAGAACGCGTGTAGTCAAATACATACTGTGATTAGAATACGAATATACATGTATGCACATACTATGAGTAATCTCATGAGAAAGGGTGACCGGCACTATGCTATGGCCGACTCTTCTCCCTTCGCTGTGCATAGTATCACCATTATACAAATCTATAGAAACAGACACAACTTTTTTTACCACACGCTCAAACATCTGTACATATATATACTTACTGAGTAGAGAACATTCAGATATATACAAACTGAGTAGAGAATATTTAGACATATACATACTGAGTAGAGAATATTCAGACATATACATACTGAGTAGAGAATATTCAGACATATACATACTGTGAGTAGTTTCTTGAGCAGCGGTGACCGGCACTGTGATATGGCCGACTCTTCTCCATTTGCTGGGCTTTGTAGCGCCACCACATCGGTGTACAGACGACGCATGGTTTGTATGAGGGTGATAAACTGTACCAATGGGAGATTGCCTGTAGCATGTATAGAGAAGTAGGTATACATGAGGTTCCAGGACCTTCATTCGATAGCCTGCGAAGTGTACAATCAGTATGAGAGTGATGAACTGTACCAATGAAAGATTGCCTGTAGCATGTATAGAGAAGTAGGTATACATGAGGTTCCAGGACCTTCCTTCGATAGCCTGCGAAGTGTACAATCAGTATGAAAGTGATGAACTGTATCAGTGTGAGATTGCCAGTAGGCAATGAAGGTGTGCTTTTAAGAAGGTACACCTGGTTCTTAGTTCGATAGTCTCTGTAGCACATGGGTTATATGAGGGTGACGGCATTTATCAGGGGGAGGATTGTCCGTAGAATGACTATGTCCGTTTATTTGGAATAAACTCTGACGAACAAAAGGGGCACACATCTGTAGCCCTATGTGACGCACAGCGGGCACAGTCCTTGGACGAGAGTGATACGCTGCGCTGGCGAGCCATTGACGGTTGAATGTTATATTAAGTAAGTGCACATGAGTTTTCACGCAGGTGACCTTGGTTTATAATCTGGTATTCCAAACGTTCAGTCACGCCCTGGGCGGAAACGGCAACCCACCCCCGAAGTGCAACTCGGGTTGTTTGGCCAACCCGCCACAACACCGCACACCAACATGACTACATGCGTGCTCAGCGCATACACTCTCGGGCATGGCCTACACACACACTCATTCCACACATCACACCCTCGTCAGTATACGCACGCAGATACACGAACCGCAACACATGCACACGACCGTACTCGCCAGTGCTCGCCCTGCCGTAACCTCAGCACGTCCTCGGTCATGCAACACAGACGACATCACAAATCACACAGATAGAAACGACTACACAAACGGCATACATATACTGCAACATAACGGCACAATAGCTCAAGCCTACACACCCTCCATAGTTTTCTTTGGCAGGTTCCCAGAACACCACAAAACAGCAAAGATAGAGCATACACACTGTGAAACACAACATCAGCTGTTCAGTATGAATGGCTTGCACGTATTACAAACGCACACACACAACCGCACACCAT